TATGTGTGTGTGTGTGTGTACATGTGGTGAAACACCAGACCAATGTGCCAGGATCTGGACAATAAAGATATTATATCTTATCTTATCTTATAGAACTTTGTAATTCTAGAGTAGCGGCGTGCCACTGATTCTAAATGTTTACGTCTCCATCGACACAATTTGGATCACTATGGAGGTGGACTTCTCCAACCTTATTCATTAGGGGCCATTCCAGGGTTGAGTGGGGTACAGCATCCCAGTATGAAAAAAGGAAATACAGTCAGGCACGGATAACTCAAACACATTGGGGATTGACAAATATATTCACCACATCCATAATTCAGGTTAACCGATAACGAAAAGTTAAAGAGATATCAGTCATGGAAGGGCAATTTCTACGAGCTATCCATGATTTCGAGTTTTCCATGTGTCATCTGAGCCCGACTGTACTTGAAAAAACAAACTTCCCCTCCAGGAAATTGAAATCGTGTCTTTCTGCCCAGCAAATGGCCCTTGAAACACTACCAAAAGAGATTAAGATTTTTACACGTGGTCAAAATATGAAAAGAGACGCTTCACTTTTTTCTTTGCTTTTTATATATCCATTCTACATTATACAACATTAACATTCTGCCCAAAAGATCTGTAAATCAAATGCAAAACTTTTTTTAAAAATTGCAAGTCCAATGATTTATCGCATATCTCTGCTGTGACTCACCAACTCCCATGACACACACATCAGCTGGCAACGTCTCTCCATTTGCCAGCACGGCTTCCGTGACCTTGCCGTCCTCCCCGCGAAATTCCTTCACGCTCGTCTCAAAGTGAAACTTAACCCCCTTTGACTCGTGAAGCTGCGCACAATCAGGAAAACAGGAGTTAAAATATTAGATCTGCACTGGCTTAAGGAATAGACAAGTCAGTATCATCTACTAAAAATTTCCCTGATGACGAAAAAGGCACTTGCACATTCTGCTGCCGTCACATACAAAAATATGTCAAGTATAAACATCAATAGTAAAACTCTTTCTGTGTCTGCCTCTTTCACTGCATACATATATTATTTACTCATAATTCTCTCTCTTTTTGCGTCTTTTTTCTCTGTCTCTCTCTCTCTCTTCATCACTCTCTCTCTGTCTCTCTCTCTCTCTTCATGACTCTCTCTCTGTCTCTCTGTCTCTCTGTCTCTCTCATATTCTCTTCTTCAAACTCACCAATTCTCACCATAACATAATTGTTGTACAAAAGATAAAACATTTGAAATCCTCAAAACGAAATGACCTTTTGTAACATAAGTGCCAATATACAAACATTTTTCTTCAGTTAGAAATAAAAATAGAAGACTCTATGAAAATACCTATAGCACAAGAAATCAAGAGCTCCCCTCGAATTTTTGTGAAGTAGTAATGCTTTCGCTGTGACAATGTATCCGCAGTGACAATGACTTTGTAAGAAGAATATTCTCAGGGTAAAACTTTAATAAATTGATGATCATCATGGCAATGAGGACTTTGCAAGAATTCATGCTTTCATTTGATACTTGTGACATCGTGGTGAAATCAGGCGATCGTCAAAATGATAAAATCAAAGAAACAGACATTTTCAATACATTGAACAATTTTGAACATTTTTTTTTTTTAAAATTTTTTTTGGGGGGGGTCAATACCTTAAATCTTAAAGTCAATTTAAAAAACACATTTCTTGTTGGATTTTATTGAAAAATATTGATCAAAGGCAGAAAAAATGTAAATTTGTAGTTTCCATCTGATACCAGGTGATCCCAACCCCCTTCAATCGCAAATATCTCAACTTCTATTCAAGATAGATGGGTATTTTTAAAATCAAAAGCAAGACAAATGAACAAGATTTTAGAAGATGACACCAATAACTCCATACACCAAAAAATTGACCGGTGCCTGATTCCACCATTTCATGACAAATATTTATGTGACATAATCAAGGACATAACAGTAATGACAAAAACTTTATTCCCTCACTAAAGCAAGGAGACCTTCAGCACACAATAAGCTGGAGAGGCAGTCATCAGCACAGTAGCTTTATGAATAAACACTGAGGCTTAAGTCAAGAAAAACACTGATGGCTAATGAACAGTTTTTTTTAAAAGATGGACCTAGCCCTTTAAAACATAATGGGCCCCCAAGGTAACATTTAATTCTACAGCTTCCCTCCAAATGATTCCATTTTCATGTCCAAAATATATCATTATAAACAAAGACAAAATTTTTTAACGGCCCACCCACTAGACCTCATTACCACCCTCCCCCCTTGCCCCAGCCAAAGCCCTAAGAAAAATTACAGATAGAAGACTTTGCATTCCTTCTAAAGCCCTTCTACAATCTCACACAAATAATCTCATTACATTGCACTTCAAGAAAAAGTTGACAAATTCACAAAGCGATTTAAAGACATCACTAAAAAAATAATAATGAAACAACAGCGAACATTGCACCTTTCTGAACCACTGTCCGATCTGAGGGCCAAATACGTGGCCACAAGGTTCAGATGACCTCCCTATCACATTCACAGACGCAGCTTTATTCACCATAAAAGTCGCAACTTCCAGGCCTGCAGGTGAAAAGGGAAAGAAAAGTACAAGTCCAGTGAGTCACATCAGTCCAGCAATAAAAATGTCCAGACTGGACAACCCATCTCACTGATTGAAACAGCTTTGTTCTGGAGAGAAATTGCCAAGCTCAGGACGCGAGTTGGAGAGTGTGAATTAGATGAAGCCAACACTAAAATCATTGTTCATAGACAAGAAAGATGGGCAAAGTCTTCTGGTACAATTGCTGCCCTGTCCTGAAACATTTAATGTCACTCTCTGTAATGATAAAGTAAATTTTTGAAAATAAAATTTAAGATTGTTCCTTGCAGTTGAAGTAACTTGAGCATACAGCAGAGAAGCAGAAGTAACAACAGGACATGCTAATAAAAAGTCGTTTCTAAAAAATCCTTACAAACCTTGCAAAATTAAAAAAGGTGTGGCTGTTTCAGAGTGATAGAAAAATTGAAGCAAATAACCACTTGAGGCTTTTCCACAAGAAAGATATCTAAAGAAGTGAAAACATTCACAGAAAAAGAATGACTAGAGGATTGAGTCATCTTTTATATGGCATGCACATGCATGAAAACACCTTTACTACAGAAGTTCCACAGAGAACCTTGGAAGAAAAGATATACACAAGTAGGAGTGAAATATTGAAAATTGAAAATAGAAATTTCATCACTGATGCTTTTTCTTTGAAAGTTGGATAAAAACTTAGCAAGAGAAAATATGAATTCGAAAGCTCCGAGTACAACCTTTGACATAAAGTATGGACAGGATTAGGATAACCCAGACTTCAGATGTGAAGCAACAGGAATGTTAAATTCCAGGCTCTAGCAGTAGTAGCATCCATAACACAAGTGACCTATATTTACTGAACATCTAACATGTTGCAGATCCTTACTCCAGCATGAAGCTTGAAATACAGTCAGACCTGCTCCATCAGCCACCTGTATAAGACAATCACTGGCACAAAAGGCCACTTCCCATTCCCCCCCTTGCGCAATTATTACTCTTTAATGACACTGTGTAAGACAGCCACCTTTCTAAGAAAACCACTTTTCTCCCTTGATAATGGGTGGCCGCCTCTGACAACTTTGACTGTAGTTAAGTTTGACCTAGTCCCATCTGAAATCGATTCCTTGGCCTTTTTCTTAACAGCAAAGCAAAGATTTAGTCAAAGTTAAAGTAATATTAAAGGTCACACACACTTCTTTTGAATGACACTGTCCAAACTTATACGCCTGTTTTTACGCAAAAAGAAGCTTTTAATGATTTCTAAATTTGATACACTGTACCTTCTGTATTTTCTCGTCTGTCTACACTAGACTTTTACCACCAGGTCAATAAACAATATGCAATAAGAAACTTTTAAAATTACTAAATTTAGGAAAAACAAATGCAACATGTTAGACATTAGCACTTAACAGGTCACAAACAAAATTGAAAAAAGTCTTATCCTGAAATGACTACACTGCAAGATAATAAACACTTAGCTGGTCAGAAAGCAAAAGAACTCTCACACTGTCAAGATGTTTACTAATGAGTATATATGACAACAACAAAAAATTAGATGAAACTGTAGTGTAAAGCAGATTAACACAAAATGAGCAAGAACATCAAGATGTTTATTGATGAGTGTATGAGAAACTTTAAAAAATGATAAAACTAATGCGAAGCAGATTAAACAAAAGGTGCACAGCGAAAGCATTAATCTATTTGTCTTCATGATCTACATTATAAAAAAGTCATCAAAACACTTGTTTTTCAAGGGGGGTGGAGTTTTTAAAAAGCATTTTTGGGGGGGGAGGAGGGAGGGGAGGGTGTTTGTTTTGGGGGGTTTGTGGGGGGGGGGGTTCTTGCGGGAGGGGTGGCGGGTGTTTGTTTTTTGGAGATTTTTCCTGGAGGGGGGGAAGGGGGAATGGAAGGGGGTGGAGATTGTAGATCAGCCAAAGGAGGGTGGCTCTTGAGAATCCCCATTTCTATTATTTATCATATGAGGTTCAACCAAAAAGTAAGCATGATTTCTATTTACTATTATTTATTTATTGTTTCGTCATTCCAAGCGTTTGAATTTTACATGTAATAGGTATGTCTTGACCAAATCAAAATTTACTCCAAAGTAAATCAGTGGCCAACATATCTCAAAATGTCTTTCTCACTAATTATAAACTAACTGAATCCCATGATACGGGCAACAAACTGTCAAAACCCATCTCACACAACACACACGAGGCAGTTGAGAACGTATCGCCCCCACCCAGAGAGTAACCGTGTGCACAAGTGTATACTGATAAAAAGCTAACTAATGCAATGGCCGGGTAAAAGACTCTGACAAATGGCTACTTCAGAATCACAAAGTTCCATCTGCTCAGTACTTGGTTTTGAACAATTTGACGTCAAAGATTTGGAGTTTCACAACTTGTCGAGCTTTTTCAAATGAATTTTTTTTTTTTACATCTTGATAATGACTCCGAATAATCTTACAATTTTTATGGAGTAAATAGAACATTTCGTTTTTTATCTCATGTTCTAGGTAACTCAAAACGGCCAAAAATGTCAGATAGAACTTTGTAATTCTAAGGAAACGAAAAGCTAATTTCCCAAACGACATTTGTCAGAATCTTGCAATCAGTCAAAGTATTAATCTTCATGGGTGGCCGGCTCTTCTACCTTCTGCATGAATGTTCCTAGCTTCTCTCCCAGCGTCAACTGGAATGGGACTCGAACCAAATCCACTACAGACACACTCTGAGCTTTCTCAGCCAAAGATGAAGCCACTTCCATGCCTTTGATGAGAACGGGGTGGTGGAGGGAGGAGGGCGGGGAACGGTTAAACTTTATGCATGGTCGTAGGCTAAAACTCTAAATATCCATCTTTCATGGGAACAACTCTCTGTTTATACATTTATCTACTTCCGTCTCCGTCGATCTGTTTAGCTGCCATGTCTAATGTTTTATAGAGAACACTTGTCCAAGAACCTATTCATACACAAAGCCCTGTCAAATACTGCACTTGAGCGTTTTGAAAATTTAAATAACAGAATCAAAAACCCCACAAGTATTCTTAAAAAATAATACTGGACAAACATTGTATCTCCAGTATCTGCGATGAAAGAATCTCGCGGAAATTCACACCACATTTGTACTTCAACACCATTATTGATATTTCAGTCGTTGGGAACAGCAAAAGGCTGACAATTCAAACTGGGACTCTTGTACAAAACATGTAAGTTATGAGACATTGTGAGCCTATTCAAGGGCTGGGCATGACAAGATAATCAATATTTGGCAATAGATCGACCTATGAAAGGTACATGGACTAGTGACGGAAGGAGAGTTGAAACGTATACAACAGAGAAAATCCTCTATTCTTTATAAGCTGAAAAGTGCAGAATACACACTGAAAATGTTATGGCAAACGGTTAGTGTCTACATCTATTGTGATGTACTGTGTTAAGGCATTAGTCTTAGACCAAGGAAGAACAGAAGAAAGTATTATAAGTCTATATATCATGCACTTTTTTTCCAAAACTTTTGAGTATTATAAGATAAATCTCTTTAAAAACTCTCTCGGAGAGTTTGTCCTTATTGGGAAAAAATTAGGTAACATGAGATGAACATTGCAATTTAAAGCTACCTTCACCAGAAATATTTATCGATATATAAGTAAGGCGATATAGACCCCTACCATAGCCAGTGTTGTTTTGACTAAGTAAGTGTTTTAGAGCATTTGTAACACAATTAGGTCATATAAGTGCCAAAGATTAGTGGAGTTACAAGAGAGAAACAATCATGAACAAATAGGAAGAGAGAGAAGGACGATGGATGTTTGATAGGAAAGAAGGAGCAGACCACACCAGAGAACCCGCAAACCACCTACAAAGCCAGTGCGATCAGCAAAAAAATGACAGACTTTATAAGAGTCTAGTTTTAGTAATGTTTTACAGCACTTGCAACACAAATAGGTCATATAAGCGTTGGAGATTAGAGGGGTCGCAAAAGAGTAACATGCAAAGAAGAGATTGAGGAGAGATAAGGACGACAGATGCTGAAAGAAAAGAAGGAGCAAACTACATCAGACCACATGCCAACGACCCATGGAGAGAGACACAAGCTAACAAATGACACCTGCTGACATTGAACTGGCAAGACAATAACAACACCAGGATTCTACAGCCTACATAAAGTTGGGATTAAAAATAAATGGTCAAACTCTTCTGTAAACGAATAGAAATTCAACATATATATATTAAGGTAGTTATGAATTCTACATATAGTACAGATTACTAACATTCAACAGTTTATCTTAGTACTAAATAATCACTCATACTTAAAGAACACAATAATTTGATCATAAAATTGTTTTGAATAAAGTATTTTATACCTTTTGAGTTTCCTATACTGAAGAATATATTTCCAGAAAGCGAAGTACCTCACGGAAAGATCAAAGCTTTAACACAAAAAGCCAGAAAGAATGGCACAGAATGGTAAATAGACAGATGAACAAAAACACACTGTCACTGGTAGAAATTCATAATGTCGAAGAGCAGTACAATGAAAATCGGTTTCCCTCCCCACACTCATATCATACAATCACATACAAAGGTGTTAGTACAGGGTAATGAGTATCATAAAAATACATGCATGGGCTATGGTGCCAGTAGTCTTAACACCTAGGCATCTGGACTCACAACCCGAAACTACGGGGGGAAAAAATCCATGTCAAGAAAGTAACAAACACTAAAAAGAAGGAGGAGAGATAAGGACGATAGAAATTTGATAAGAAAGAAGGAGCAAACTACACCAGAGCTCCTGCCACCACCCTCTTAAAGTAAATTGAAATAACAAGAACAACAAAAACAAGCTGGGTGCCTTGTGCCTTACGAGCTGAGATATCATAAAAACTAAATCAAATTAAAATACTTCCTTTTGTACTGTACACCACGACCAGAACAGTGCTGTAAGCTCCCAAGTTTGTTTTTTCGGCACTTTTCATCAAATTCAACTCTTATTACAAAACTTACCTGAACCTATCATAAGGGATAAAACTGTATGGGACATTCACAAAAGACTTTATTAAGAGTTTTACGGCTCTTGCATCACAACTAGGTCTATACAAGTACCGAAAATTAGAGATGTTGCAAGAAAGTAACAAACACAAAAAAAGAGGAGAGATAAGGACAATAGATATTTGATGAGAAAGAAGGAGTTAACCACAACAGAGCACCTGCCAACCATACATGGTCTAACTTTTCAGCAAAAGACCATCATTAATTAACAAGAGGTACTTTCGTCTTTTCTAATAAAGTCTATTTCTAACCAGCAACGGGCAGGGTAATTTACCAATAAAGGAGGAGCCAACGATGACCACATTCTTGCCCACAGCATTCTCTGCAATGGCATTGGCATCTGCTGGGGTACGTAACATGTACACATTTCCCAGCTCAATACCAGGGATGGGTAAACGTCTGGGTCTGAAAAATACACGTACACATATATCGTTGATGTCGCAGGCAATCCACTTAAGTCTGTTTGGATACTTTTTACAACAGAGACAAAAACTGGTTTTTGTTGTGCTGTCCTTATCATGAAATATGAAAAGCAAGACAATTTTAAGTTTTGACCATAGTATTAAACTGCATTTTGGTGATGCTGAAATCAGTATCTTTGAACAAGCTTTAGAAGGGTGTGAAAACAGAAAATTATCAAAATTTGGATTCAAGTGGATTGTTTGCCACAACAACAATACTGAATAATAATTATGTGAATTTATAGAGCACCTAATCCCTAGAAAACTGTAAGCCCTGTACTGTGCATGATTATTATTCAATACAACAACAAATCAAATGACAAAAATGTTCATTGTGAGACCATACATGCGCATGCACGCACACACACATGCACACACACATGTACGCACACATATATATAATATATATGGACTCACTGTCCTCCTGTTCCCAGTACAAGTGTGTCATAGCCCAGGCTCTCTCCACTCCCCAGATTGAGTTTCTTGTCACTAGTAGACACACTTTCCACCTGGGTCAGAAAGAAATAAACAACTATGGAAGCAAACAAATCAACAGAGACTAGATTTAGAAATCAGAAAGTGGAAATGGAAGTGGCTTGGACACACCTTGAGAAAACTAAATATGGACATAACCCATCAAGCCTTGAGGTGAAAGCCACAATGTATGAGAAAGAGAGGTAGACCTAAACGTGACTGGAAAGGAGGGGGGGGGGGGGGGCGGATTTAGATTCAGACTTAAAAGAGATTGGGAACAGCAGGACAGAGGTGAAGACTACAGCCCAGGATAAAAATAGATGGAAAGCTCTTGTTGGTGGCCTATACTCCAGCACGAGAAGAGAAAAGATGATGATGAGAAGAGAACCATCCACAGATATCAAAAAATTTATATGAACATTATCATTCACAAGAAGCTGTACTGGCAAACAAAAGATCGGAGCAGGACGGCCTAGAATATGACAGATACCGGACTTCAAGTATGATGTGATCAAGAAGAAGAAGGAGACACCAAGATGGTTTACTCCTCTGTATAGCAGCTTGTCGCAGACAAAAGGCAAGAAAACTATACTTTGTCAACATAAGCCCACCTGCTGTCCCAACATGAGCTCAATCCCGTTGTTTTCGTAGAAGTCGGCTTTCCTCAGGGCTATCTCCTCCGGCTTGATGCTCATTGCCTGTACAAAGAAATAGATAGAGGTCACACAGTTGGGATCATAGCACAATAATAGACCTGACACTGAAGTCCAACACTCTAATGGACACAACAGGTTTTCTTTCAAAGACAGAATATTTATTTGGGTTGGGGGGAGGGTTTTGTTTGCTTGGGGTTTTTTTTTATAAGTGTTTTATGACACTCACAATTGCATAAGGTCATATGAGCGCATCGGGAAAAACAATAAGCATTTTTAGTTGGGTAAAAATTAATTTTGAACTTTGCCGGGGTGGTGGCCGAAGTCTACTGTTATTGATTTTAGGACCGCCAAGGGATCTTTGATGTGCTCAACTCGCACAGGGATCCTCCGAGATTTTATTGCCCTTATCTGAGAAGGCTAAATATTTGTTTCTCTATCAGTATACAATTATAATGATATAGTAAAGAGAGTTTATATAGCTGCTAAACACTTAAAGTAAGGCTGTAAGTGCTGTATAGTGCAGAATTATCATTCAACACGACTGACAAACCAAAAGACAGAAAATGTACATAGTGAGACTATTTAGCAACAGACAGATACACATGCGCACGCACACACACACACACATGCACACACGCACACACACACACACAAGTACATACTCACGCTCACACACACACACACACACACACAACAAAAACACACACACACACATACACACATACACAAGCACACACATAACCACACTCACTCACACACACACGCGCACACACACACACACACACACACACACACACACACACACACACACACACACACACTTTCTCCCGTACACCTCACCTTGCTCAGTTTAATTCTATCATAAGGGAGACAATTCTCCTGTGAGACAAGGACCACGCGACCTGTGAAGCCCTCCTGTCTGAGAGTCTCCGCACACACCAACGTCGACGGCCCTGAAGCATACAAAAAACGGTCAAGGTAAGCACAGTCCTCTAAGAACATACAATAATTACCAGTGTCAATGCTGAATTAGACCACATTTTACACTGAATTAAGACAGTTCGGGCCTTGAACTATATCCATCGAGATTGAATAGAAGTCGAGATATTTGCAATTGAAGAAGGTGGGGTAGCCTAGTTTCAGTGGTTAAATTAATGAGAAAATGGCCGCCAAAAGTTTGGTAACTTCAATAGTTTAAGACTCCTTGAAAACTAAAAATTACATGTTTTGTGCCTTTAAACAAGGTTTTTCAGTAAAGTTTATATGGAAATGTTCTCATATGAACATAAAAGGTGTTGAGACAAAAAACAAAATTTCGATAGAAATTGCCAAAGTTCATTATTTTGACGAGCACCTGATATCACAACGCTGCCTCACATATGGACACCATAAGTAAAAACAAAACAGTAAAATGTGAAATTAGAACAAGTAACATCACTCCTCCAGTCCCTCTTTATCAATGTAAGATTCAATGCAGTTCATTTACACAATAAAACGCTTAGAATAGTCTGTGTATAAAGCCATTGTTCCCAAATTATTTTTAGCTTTTACTGTTAAGTTCAGTTTATAGTTTGGCACTCTGAGAAGCATACTGACAGTTTATGGCCATTCTGTGCAGGAATTAGAGCAAGACAGACTGACAGAAACAACAGAGAAAAAGAAATGAAGTAAGACCTACCACTGGCACTCTCCAACCACTAGTTAATTCTCAGCCTTTTCCAAACTGTGACTCATTTCTAAGTAGCAAGTGGGTGGATAGTCTGGAAAACTTATCAAACAACACAAAACAAAAAAAAGCATTGTCAGAGATTCAAACCGTGGTAATTCACATCATAAACCAACATGATAAAAACAAAGCTAATCAGGCTGCCCATACAGTTTTAGAAAGTGCCTCTAAGTGACAATGCCCACCACCTACCTCCACCAACCAGCACAACTGTCTTCTTGTTGTCGGCAGCTTTTCTCACCATGGCCTTGACCCTTTTGTTGTTTTCCAGCGAGGCTGGGTCAGCGCGCACGACCACATCCTCTCCACGTACCTCCACCTGAAGCAAAGAAAGACAGAAGGAAATATTTTAACCTATTTTGAATTTAATTTGGTTTATGTAAACAGAAGCACACCTGATATGATAACAGGCATCTGGCACAAGAAAACTGCAAGACGAACAGACAGAAACAACAGAGGAAAAATAAGAAGTAAGATCTGCAAGTCGTGTCCCATAACAAACCGAGCACTGGGCTCAATTTCACACCTCTGTATGACAATCAGATATTGATCACCAGAAGGGTCAAAATTTGTCACACAAAAGGTCAGAGTTCAACACCCGATGGGTGACAGCTTCTCACCTCAAACTTTTGCAGACTGTCCAGGCCGGGGAAATCTTCAATGTCTCCAGTCTTCACGTTGAAGCAGGCCCCGTGCCAGGGACATCTCACCACACCCTTACAGTAGGCACCTGGGACAGGAGAAAACATACGTGTCACGACGTGGTGGAATCGGGCGATCGTCAATTTTTGGGCATATGGGGTTATTGGCATCATCTTAAACCCTGTTAATTTGCCTTCCTTTAAGTGAAAAAAATATTTATCTATGTTGAATAGAAGTTAACATATTTGCGATTGAAGGAGGTCAAGGTTGCCTTGTTTCAGAAGTAAAATTAGCGAGACAATGGCTGTCAAAATTTGGTAACTTCCATATCCTGAGAGTCCTTGGAAACTGACAATTTCCATTTTTTGTGCCTTTATTCAATGTTTTTCAGTAAAATCCAAGCAAAAATGTGTTGTTAAATGGACAAGAAGGTGTAGAGCCAAAAAAAGAAAATCAGAAAAAATTTGCCCATTGACCAGAAAAATGCCAATTTCTATGATTTCATTATTTTGACGCGTGCCTATTTTCACCACGATGCCTCAAATATGAGTCGCAGTTACCGGCTCTTCTATTTCATCTCATAACTTCCTTCTCATTTAAAAGAACTATGCATGTTATCTTCAAATCAAAGAAGCACAAAATATTATAGTTTTCTGATTAGAGTTACTGACAGAAAGCTGCCACAGAATAAGTCAATATATAAAATTGTGTGTAAAATCAAAAAGTGCAAAACTGTGAGAAAATGTTCTAAAAATAATTTTCAGTACTAAAAACTTGTTGTGGGAAATGTTTGAAACTGATACGATCAAAAATGATAAAAACTAGCCCTGGACAACGTACGAAACTGGTATATGTGTATATATAGAAACGCAATTAATTAATTGATCAAAGTAAACCGCACATTCAGGCAAATGAGGGCCAAACTATCAGCATGTACAGCCTTTTTTTTTAATGAAGGTGTTTTTAAGGGCCCATTGACACAATTTAGGTAATGTAGGAGGCAGGCTTCCACCCTGCCGGTTAGGACCATCCAAGCAGAAAGACAGAGATACTCTATAAAAATGTCCTCCCATGAGTATGAGAACCAAACTCAAGTCTTCTGTTTGCAATGGTGAAGTGCATAACTGTTACACAACAGATTCAGGTACTGCATTGTTTGTGCCAATAAGTCTTAATAAATATCCACAGAAAGAGAGACCACTCTCCTAAGACTTCAGACACAGAACTTGTCATACCCTTGTTGCCTACCTTTGGTCAGAGGTGCTCCGTAATGGGTACACTTGTTGCTCACAGCATAGAACTGACCACTCTCCTTGACCAGCAAAGCTTTTTTGTCCCCAATTTCTACTTCTTTCATCCTGAATAGGATTGATAGAGAAAAAAGGAAAAATTTATAAATACTAATATATCAGAGGCATCAACAATATTCTCAATCTGAACACGGTAGAGGAAAAGGATGAAAAAATTACGCAACTAAATTCATTTAGTTCAGTTTGAGTAAAGAGAACCACATAAAAGCATTAATCGCCATTTAGGGCAAGGAACAAGCATGATAGACAGACAGACCAACAGCACAAAGAGATAGAAAATAAGCACAGCCTATTTCTAGAACCATCCACCCGGCCACAGTTAGTTTTAGTTTTAGTAGAGGTTTTACGGCGCTCGCAACTGCATAAGGTCATATGAGTGCCAGATGATTCGAGGTGTTACAAGAGAGTAACAAACATAAAAAAGAAGAAAGGGAGATAAGGACGATAGATGTTTGATAGGAAAGGAGAAGCAGTTCAAAAGGAAGAGTTATTGATTATAATAAAAATCATTCACAAACAACTTCAACAAATTTCAAGAAAGTGAAATATATTCCATTTTCACATCATAGAGTGATTCATTAATTCTCGAATTTGTAGAAAAAGTACATATTTTAAAACAAGAGAATCAAAAACATCAAAACCAATCCAAAGGGCCTAACTTTAATTTTCCTTGAAGAAAAATTTCCAAAAAACCAATTCACGGTCAAGTTGGGTCAAACTGAAGACTGATTCTAGTCCGTTCTTTCAGACTCCAGCCCATTAACTAAAGGACTTTCAACATGTCAGACATTTAAGGACTCCAATGAAAGAACAAGCATAGTCTGGTCACATTGTCAATTCTGAGAAACACAACTAGAGCTCAAATCAGGACTTCTCATTCTCCAACAGGTATCACTGTGCTTTTAATTAATGCCATTATACCTTTTCAATGTACTGGGCTACTTGGAACTATGTGGCTATTTCATCTCATAAGAGATTCAGTGAGGAAAAGGATGATTAGCAAACACAAGGGGCATAACTCTAAAATATTACACAGTGTGACTATGAGCATTCTTTGACTGGCATCCTCACATTTAATCAATAAAGGACACCTTTACCAATCAAGGCACAAAAGCAAAAAACATGGTAAAATGAATCTCAGTGAATTTTTCTATTCAACTTACTCCCCATCATTGAAATCCCCGACTTTTCCCACGACCGACTCAATCATGCTTGCAGTAGGAGTAGTCTCCCCGCCACCTGAGCTGGCCTGTGTGGCAGTAGCAGAAGTGCTGACCGGTCTGTTGGCCTCGGCAGGGTTCTTGTTTTTTGAGTCGTCAGAGCCTTCAAACTTGCGGACAGTCACAACCTTCACTCCCGCATCTGTGAAAGAAAAGAAGATGTTCATTTGTCAGTTTGTTTGTTTGTTTGAGTAAAAAGAAAAACGTTCTGACAATAACACGGTCATGAAGTGCAAGGAAACAGCAAGGCTGACAGACAGAAATGGCATAGGGAAAGCAAAGAAGTAGGACGACCTACCATTGGCAACCTCCAACCCACCAGCACAACCTCCACCAATCCCACCAGCAGAAAAAGAGACAGATGAGATGAAGACAAATAAGATAGGACAAATTAAAATATATTTCGATGTTCTAAAACGAGAGCTTCCTCAAGATAAAAATGATTAAAAGGAAGAAAACAAAGACAACGTACTGTGCATACTCTTATTTCACAATTATTTTGAATAAATACATCATTATCAAAGACACCTCGGAATACAAATAAAATTGCAACCAAAAATAACCTTAGGCTATAACACTGCAAGGGACAATAAACCTATTCAATTTTGAACATTTTCCCATCATTAGCTGTGTTATTCTTCTGCATCTAAGAACGGCACATGCCTGGGGAGCCTTACTTAAATGTTGCACTAGAATGTATGATTGTACATTGTCAGGCTAAAACAGAAGTTGGGTCATAAATTTTAGTAAGTAGGTGACTTCACTGCTTCTACTGTAGGCTACCTGTCAGCCTCTACCTTGATTGAGTGTGATACCGCGCTCTAATAGACAGACTGAGAAACTAGATTTAATTTTTTTTTAATTCAAACAAAAGAAGGGGGAAAAAATACTGTTTTGAACATCATAGATATTGAACTCTTGCCTTCTGAGTACAACAGGAAAGAGCCTAACAGTAACATCATAGACGCAAGTAAAAAGCAGGACTTTAAGTATCTATAAGTTTTACAACACTTGCACTCGTTTGTTTGATTAATTTAATTAGGTCTTAAAAGCGCCAAAGAGGTGTCACTAGCGAGTAACATACAAAGAAAAGAAGCGAGAGAAAATATTAAGAATGATTGGACAAAACAAAAGGAGCAAACCACACCGGAGCACCTGCCAACCCCACACAAAGCAAGACTGGAAAATTTTGAAAAGTGCATTTTACCTCTACAGCCCAACACACGGAGACAGTTGCGGAACATGACCAGAAGCCAAAAGAGTAGCGTCGTTTTCAGAGCCCAAGGAACACAGGAAAAAGAAGCAGGAAAATCCTTGAGAGCATTCCCAGTCAGACTAACTCTCCGCTTTCTCTCATTCCCAGCAGTGATCGTTGGTGTGATTTTACAACCTCACTGTCCACTCGATAGTTATAAATTCCGCCACTTCAGTCAGCGAGGAACGGATACTCATATACATTCTAAGTTCTATGACAATGCAAGTATGAGGACTCTGATGAAGAATAATATGTTATCACATGTTGTAATATTTTGAGTCGTGCCCCTTGCATTATACTGCACATTTGACATGCATTTTATTTGTACATGTACGTGTATTTCATTATCTTTTTTTCTCACTGAACCTATCGTGCGAAAAAACAGACACAGTCCCGAGTAAACTTAAACCGAACACCGGGCTTCCAATGAAAGTCACAACGTTTTCTGCTTCGAGCTACTTACTAGGGGATTTTAAAAAAAATTGAAACAGAGAAAGTGCGACTCGGCCCGTTCTTTCACCGCGGTCCTCGCATAGGCATCCTCGTTCCACTTATAAAATAAATGCCAAAGAGTAAAAACCTGTTTCTTTCAAACAACTGACTCAGAGAAACACAAGAACTTTGGTACACTCAATTGATTATTTTTTTTTTATTATTCTTTTATCCAAGTTAACTACATGTATATTACCAAGCCAGCTCTGCTCTTCATTTCAGACCCAAATACTCCAAACCGGCTAAAAATAACTTCGGGGCAATTATCTTAAGAGCGTGGTGATTATTTTAAAATACTTAATGTCGCACGCTACAAGTAACCTAGACACAAAAAAAATTGGACACAACACCTACGGCGTCTCTTCAAGTCTTGTCCTCCTCAGGGGCTCACTTGACTTGTAAGAGTACGCCGTAGATCTATGCTGCTCTATAAACTTCAACCGCCATTTACGACAATAACTGTCTCAACACTGGTTGCTGGTGGCCCCAGGCTAATAGAGAATGGTGTTGGTTATTTAAACAATAAACGGTGATTTAAGGGGCGTGGAGACTGATCCGATGCTATCAGACCAAGCCATGCGGATGGAGGGCTTTAAAAACTCCCCCAAACAACACACTACCTTAAAAAAAAAGCACCCTTGGGGATTCGAACTAGAGTTGTCCACACAGAAGGCTACTATAAAAACCAACTGAGCTATTGGCACCAGTTGTAGCCTAAGGATCACCGTTGTGTGACATAATAAGATGAAGAAAAAAACACCCAGAAGTATCACCAGAAAACAAGACTGAGCGCCGGTAGTCATGAAACTACCGCTACAAAAAGCAACAAAAATAAAATCGTAACCGAAAACACACGCTGAAAATATAAAGGTTTTACATTTACACCCACATCAACAAAATTAGGATTATTTAGGAGGAAGGCTTTGACCTGACCTGCCAGGACAAATCCGGACTAAGAAGGATACCAGAAAGACCGAGAAACTCTATAGATATTCTTCCCACTCGTGACTCGAAATCGGATCTTCTGCGCGCGACGGCAAAGTGCCTAGACGCCATATATACCGCATAAGGCAGTAAACTGCAGTATCCCATCAGTAAAGACAAAGCGACAGAATAAGTTCCCATTATCAGAGAAAAAACATGCGTTGTGTTTGATTACGGGGCCACACGGTGACACAACACAATAACAGTCATTTAGTGCAAGGAAGACAAAAAGAAATAAACTCAGACAGATAATACAACAGACGGAAAAGAAAAGAAATACAACCTATCAACCATCCGCTCGGAGAAATAAGGCCAAATTATACCATCATATCAGTCATAAGTACCTCTTCTCTGCCGACAGACAAGCTAGCTGGTAGTGATAATGATCCATCACCAAATAAGAACTAGCTACACGAGACAATTAAGTTGTAGATGCAATGGAAAACCAGCGCACAAACAAAACCGAATAGTGTGTTTGAGTAGTAGTAGTAGTATAAGGTTTTACGGCGCTCGCAACTAGTGTGTTTGATAACGAATGCCGATTGATAAACATGAAAAAGCACAAAAAAGTTGTTCAAGGGCGAAGGTTCCCGGACAGAATTAGAGCTACGTCACGATGACTCACTTCAGTGAATCGTTTTCCATCTGACAATCTTACACGCATGCATAACTACCCCC